ATCAAAAGCAGCAGAAATATCAAACAAAACTATTCCTATAATTTTTCTTTTCCCTATTTCCACAAGCCAGTCATCAACCATTTGAGTTAAGGCAATGGCTGTTGAATATTTCTCTCTATATGCATGTTGTAAATTAGTGATTCAATTATTGATGTTTCAAACTAACTTGCAGCCAGAGTTCTTCAATTTCTGGTGACATTAAATCCTGCCTAACATTAACAGGTATATGACTTTGAACATAGAAAGCAACCCCTCCTCCATATGCATTCCTATCTTTAAAACATTATACCCATGTATCATCAGTGATGTATCCTCAGATGTAGATTTAGATGAGTCTAAAAGTGTCTCAAATACAGCCGATATATGTAGATTATTTAATAATAGCACATCTTCTACTTCAGTTAATTTATTCCTAATACTACATATGTTTATATGGGCAATTGTAAGACCTTTCTCGGGCAGTTTATGTAACATTTACCAATTATCTTTTTTCGGTAACCCTTCCTTTTACAGTCCCCTAATTACCAGGTATTTACCAGGTAAATATATGGTAATTCATAGCATCTTCTTGTGTAATTACCACCAGTATAAGAAGGTAAATACATGGAAACTACAGCTGAAGTACAAAGTATTTATCTGGTAAAATATTTTACAGTGCGCTAATACCAGGTATTAACCCGGTAAAACAAAGAATGTTCTTGTGTAATTTACACTAGTAAAAGAAGGTAAATACAGGAAACTACAGTCAAAGTACAAAGTATTTACCTGGTAAAATATACTGAAATACAGTGTATTATTGGGTAATTACTGCTGGTAACAAATAAGTAAATACTGAGAAACTACAACTGAAACACGAAGAAAAAATCCCACTATTGCCCATCCTTTCAACTGAGTACCATGTAGTTAACAGGTTTAGGTTGGTAATTACTCAGATATAATTGTATAAAATATGGAATTGTTTCTATTTAAGTTGAACATTTTGCCCGTATTTACCTGTTATCATCCTCTGCAGGAACGGCTTTCCTCTGCTGCCGTGGCCCAGTATATCTTCTTAAATATTGGGTACGTTCTTGCATATGGTTTTAGAACATACCCAACATGTACGTTGAAACTGTACTGTAAAATGAAGCCTTGCTTGCTTCCATACTATTACTATGTTCTTACTAAATCCTTTGTAATAAAACATTCCATTGTCTATGCAGTTAAATGAATTTGTACAATATAAGTTCCACAATATTACTAAGTAAAACATGTTAAATTACCCAGTTAGTAAGATGAACCTGCACTGTAAAAGGAAGCCTTGCTTGTTTCCATTCCATAACAGGCTCTTGCCCTATAATTTGTAATAGATTACTCCCTTTTCCATGCAATCAACACAAACTTGAACCTTAAAAGTTCCACAACATTACTAAGTAAAACATGCCAAATTACCCAGTGAGTAAGATGCAACTGTACCACACAAAAAGGAATGTTTAATACCAAGATATAACAAAGGCACAGTGGAAAGTAACAAGATGTACCAAAGTTACCATGAACATTATTAAGTAATATATACTTATTACTAAAGATTCGGGGTTCAAAGACAACACTTAAACAGAAAACAAAACCAGAACTCTTCAAAATGTTTAAAATCTGAAATAAAGTATGCTGCCGTACACGAGCAGACTGTAAAGTAGGCAAAGACAAACTCAAAAATATATTACCTTTCAACAACCCTTCTACCCTTCAACTCCCTACCATAGGGAAAGTAGTAATGTGAACCCTCACTTCCTAAATTTGCATTTTATGGGTAGCAGCTCAGACTTTTTTCATTTGTTTAATTTTTTCTTCAAGCGGGTTGTTACCCTCCAGGAAGGTCTTGCAGGTTTTGGCGTAGTTTCCTAAAGTGTCCTCCTCAGTGAACTCTGGCAGCAGCCCGAAATCTTCACCCTCTGCAGCAATCCACACCTCTGCAATGATTGCCGTTAAGGCGATTGTATTTCTGTCAACGCTCAGCGATTCACAGCTGAGGCTGATGCTCCTTGTACGCCGAAATTCTTTTAGAACAGCTCTGTATCGGTGTACGACGTCCTCTGGACCCTGAACTACAAGACAGATTAGAAAATATGATCTATTCACATTATATCATAATCACACAAACATTAATAATCTTGATTTTACATAACAGGACATTCTAGAGTTAGAGAAGTAAATAACGTATATAATCTAGTCTCTGCTCTCCTCTCTTTCACTCTACTCTTAGAAAAGTGATTAATTCAATAAATAGTGCTTTATGATAGGCCCAGCCTATTGCGTGTGTGCACACTGACACTGGACTTCTGCCCAAAGAAAATCAGTCAACACATAAGGGTGCTACATTGAAACTATAAGCAGGGAGTGCAGCAGCAAAACCCAGACAGAGCAGACAGCAGCAATGACAATGAACAGGCGGAAAGCACAACAGGGGGAGCTGGGGGCAGCGGTGGGTTGAAGTCGGCTAGTGGAGGAAGCAGCAAGAGAAGCCAGGCGAGAGCAGTTTAAATACTGAGCTTTGAAAGTGATTAGCCAATAGGAGCATTGGTGATGTCAGCTGAGTGATCAGCTGATGGGGCTAGGCTGACAGCTGATATAGAGCGTGTCGTTGTGGCCTGCCTGAACTAACCCTATGCTTTATGAATATAAAATATTGTAACACTGAGATGAAAATGTTCCATAGACTAAACTAGGTCCATCTTTGTCACCTGGAGCATGTACAATAATCTGAAGGCTTCATGCGAAAAGCTATTAGCCACCCACCGTGACCGACTCCATACTGAAGCACATATCAATACAGATGGTCCCGGATCAACACAGGAAATCGGAAAAATATAAAACAGAAAAGGCCATTTGAAGTTTTTAAAAAATAATAATTTGCATTCAAAAACTGTGGGTTTAAAACATTTCTGACTTTACTTTGAAGATCTCTGTGGGCCTTAATTGTTCTTGTTCTGTTTAACTAATATACAGTGTTTATAACAAATAGCGATCGTATTAAATTCTGTGTAGGACATGGTGAATATTGAAAATCAGCTTGCATCATAGTTGTTGACGATACCCTGCCCTTGGCAATACCCTGAACTATGATAACCTACAACCCTTATATGACTGTATAATATAAGATGAATGTGAGCTATCCTTTTCATAATGATGAAAGTTACCTCTTTTTCCAAATTTTGCAGGGTTTTCCTTCTTCTTATTCTTTCTCTTCTTCTTATTCCTCCTTTCTTCTTCAGAGGAGGAGTCTGACTCAGAGTCAGATGTTGAAGAGTCTGAGGAATCCATGAGCCTCCTTTTGTCGGACCCTTAAACAAAGTAACAAAAATGATGAAATAATTATTTTTCTAATAATTATTTTTTCTGATTTTGCGCTTGAAAAAAATTATCTTATTGTAGCGTATTTATATTATTTGTGTGATATGGATACAAAATAAGCAACTCATTTAGACTATAGAAATAGCTCTCCATGTTGTTTTTGGGAGGAACACTGTCTGGATACCTTTTGAAGATGCTGAGGGTCTGGTCTTCACTGGGTTGAGACCTTTCTGCCTAAGGAAATCCCGCTCCTCTTTCAGAAGGCGGTTCTCCTCTTTTAGCAATCTATAATCCTCCTTAAACTTAGCCATGGTTGGGGCAGTGGTTGTAGCAGATGACTGTGCAATCTCTTTCACTAAAAAAGATGCAAAGACAAGGGCAGGTGCTCGCCGTTAGTGTATTTCCAAAACCTGTTTTAATTATCAACCAGAGGAGGGTGCATGATAAAAAGTTTACACCGGGCGGCCATTATACATTTAATGTTTTTACTTGCAGTATATTATATTCTATTATTGTGTATTATTATTCTATTATTGTCAGACCATGCCTGGATATACTGGATAGTACAGGTCAGTAAATGCCAACCGAGGGCACTACCCCTTGTGACAGGGGCAGCACCAATTACCCCTTTTGAGCCAGGAAAAACCCTTCCTGCAACCAAAAGCTACACATAAAATACTTTTGTAGTATTTACATCCTTTTCCATAAAAAACTAAGTTACCTTCATTACCAGACTGCAGCATGTCATCATCTGGTGGGTTGCTGGTTTGTTACGACTTAGTTTGTCTTTTACCCCGTGTCAATGGCATGACTAAATGTAAAAGAAAGAAAGACTCGTTAGTCTGTTTTAGACTGTACTTACTAACAGGAGCTAAGAGCCATGGAGAGAATCCACCGCTCTGGTAACGTTTGTTCTCTGTTGTGTTTAATGAACATCAGTTACGGTAATCAAAATGCAGTACAATAAAGGAATAACGTTATGCATCTAAATTTGAGAAAGGGGTGGCTCTATTCGTGGCAGTGGCAGATAGTAGTAGCACTTCCGGTGGCAGCTGCCACTGACCTGCCGGAGAATTGAGCCAGCCCTTGCTGGAGACTAAACTTTCGCTCGAGACAAAACAGTTAACTTATCCTGCATTATCAAAATACCTTGACAAAATGCTTCTTCTTGCCACGATAGTACGAAAACGTGATGTGTTTTGCCACTTTCCGCCGGCGCCTTCTCCTTGTACCTGGCGAGCCTCTATGGGGGGAGTCAATGAATGGAATAGTCCATTAAATGGAATTAAACAGTTGGTAAGAGTAGTTGCGTATTAACAGTAAACGTGTACTTGGCATTACCGCGATCTAATGATTTAACACTTATCTGTTTTTGCACTATCCTACTCCCCCTCCCCCTAACACCAAGTTCAGAATGGTATGTACCTAGAGATCAGGTGCGCAAGTGGCGGTTATACACCCGGAAATCTGGTGCCCCCCCGCCATAAAAAAGCAAAGAAGAAGAATGCCTGCACAGAGGACTTAATGTGTGAATATTTCAGTTGGCCTAATATGACATTGACAAGAACATTAATTAAGAAGACAGCGCAAGGGGGTAAAAAGTTAATAAGATGGATGCAGATGGAGAGGTTGTTGGCAAGGAAGAAACGATGCCCTGTGAGCAACAACAGAATGAAATTCAAAAGAACCAACACAACCAAGGATGGATATAGGTGGTAAGTAAGGATCAATATGCCATTATATTATATTGTAACATTCAAATTGATCAAATCTAAACAGATTATAATGTAGATTATACTCTAGCTATTGTTTCTTTTATATCAGACTATAATAGTGAAAGAAAGAAGACAAAATGAACTTATGTGAGCTATCTTTATGTAGGTTTAATTATTTATTTTTTATTCATTTATTCATTTAACATTATAATTTTTTAAGTATAAAAATATATATAAGTGTAACCATGGCGATACTATGACAAACTGTTATGTACAGGTGCTGTAGAAGAAGAACCCACAAGGGCAGGGCCATCACGAGGTCCATCAGAGAGGGCTCAGTTTTCTCCAGACCACATATTCCATTACCATCATGGATGAAAGTTATGCACAGGTTAGGTTCTCTCTCTCTTTCTCTCTCTCTCTGTGTCTGTCTTACACTGTTGTGTTTGAGTGTTTCAGAAAAACGCAATTGATGATATGTTGATAGTTGTCATATTTAGTCATTTCTGTCTCAGTTTGTCACAGGGCTTGAGGAAGAGACAAGTAGACATGATAGAGGATGGAGTATGTGGAAGCAGCAAATCCCTGACCAGAGTAACTACGCTGTTGCGAGAAATCTGTGGTGAAGCAGTTAGGCGACTGGAAAGAAGACGGAAAATGAGAATTGGAGGGAGGAGAGCTTTTGTATCAATAGATGAGAGTAAATTCCGACACAAACAGAAGGTAAGGTTTGTTTATGTAAGTAAAATAGTAATTTCTGTTGTGAAAGTACAGTACATCTGAACTACTACAGTACTATAAATACATTGGAAACAGGTTTTCATAGAGTAAAATACTCCACCCAAATTTATCTACCGGTATATTAATCTAAGATTAGAATCAGGTCCTGTTGATCAGCCTCAGTGCTGCTGGTAATACTGCATTGTCTATTTCATAGCATACAAATACATATAATTAAGTCTGCTTAGAAAATATGACACCTAAAAATTGTGATTTGGACGCTAGCCCTATGAAATGTCATATGCCAGGTAGCACTACCATAACAATGGGGGTGAATCAGACAGCCCTGAAGTGAGTCTAACACTATAATTTCAGAAGAATTTCATAAAAGCATGACATTTTGCTTATTTTCAGTATGGACGTGGACGACGTGGACCCACCTGGCGAAGACGTTCGTGGGTCTTTGGAATGCTGGAAGTGAAGAGGGCCCGTAGACGTCCTGTCTTAAAGCTGGTGGAAAATCGATCCAGGATGCAATTACTCACAATAATCCCAAAATATATCAGACCTGGAAGTGAGGTGATTAGTGATTCCTGGCGTGCCTACAACAGATTGTCAGGTGAATCACCAGAGACATTTTGTCCACCCTGGAAGTGGTGCTCATACACAGCACATTGAACGGGCATGGCGAAGTTTCAAAGAAGGCATCTACAGATACAGATGAAACCTGACAGAGAGGGCCTTAAAAATTAACTTACGGTTCATAGAATGGAACCACTGGCTTGGAAAGGAGCATAGGAAAGGCATTCTTGGACGCTTACTTAAATACATAAGAGCATGTTACAAAGTGTAACAACCTTCCAACCCTTTGTCTTGTTTCAAAAACTGAAAAAAGCATGATCTCATAAATTACACAAGGTACAACTTCAACTTTTAACAAAATGTTAATTTCTTAATTGTTATCAATTGTTCATGGTTGCAACCATGTAAACTTTAGCACATCTTGTTACTTTCCACTGTGCCTTTGTTATATCTTGGTATTAAACATTTCTTTTTGTGTGGTACAGTTGCATCTTACTCACTGGGTAATTTGGCATGTTTTACTTAGTAATGTTGTGGAACTTTTAAGGTTCAAGTTTGTGTAAGTAATCTATTACAAATTATATGGCAAGAGCCTGTTATGGAATGGAAACAAGCAAGGCTTCCTTTTACAGAACAGGTTCATCTTACTAACTGGGTAATTTAACATGTTTTACTTAGTAATATTGTGGAACTTATATTGTACAAATTAATTTAACTGCATAGACAATGGAATGTTTTATTACAAAGGATTTAGTAAGAACATAGTAATTGCATGGAAACAAGCAAGGCTTCCTTTTACAGTACAGTTTCAACGTACATGTTGGGTATGTTCTAAAACCATATGCAAGAACGTACCCAATATTTAAGAAGATATACTGGGCCACGGCAGCAGAGGAAAGCCGTTCCTGCAGAGGATGATAACAGGTAAATACGGGCAAAAATGTTAAACTTAAATAGAAACAATTCCATATTTTATACAATTATATCTGAGTAATTACCAACCTAAACCTGTTAACTACATGGTACTCAGTTGAAAAGATGGGCAATAGTGGAGATTTTTTTCTTCGTGTTTCAGTTGTAGTTTCTCAGTATTTACTTACTTGTTACCAGCAGTAATTACCCAATAATACACTGTAATTTCAGTATATTTTACCAGGTAAATACTTTGTACTTTGACTGTAGTTTCCCTGTATTTACCTTCTTTTACTAGTGTAAATTACACAAGAACATTCTATGTTTTACCGGGTTAATACCTGGTAATTAGCGCACTGTAAAATATTTTACCAGATAAATACTTTGTACTTCAGCTGTAGTTTCCATGTATTTACCTTCTTATACTGGTGGTAATTACACAAGAAGATGCTATGAATTACCATATATTTACCTGGTAAATACCTGGTAATTAGGGGACTGTAAAAGGAAGGGTAACCCAATATTTTGATTTAATTGCTGCGTGTAATGATTGTTAATTGCGTTTCTTCATAGCACTTGTTACAAAACTGGTTTTTCAGAATGTTTATTGATATCAACCCAATTTTGCACACAGGCTATTGAAACAATTAAACGTGGCTTTGTGTGTGTGAAAGAATAAAACATGCTTTCATATGTATGTGATATCAAACAGACAAAAATTATAATTAATTCATTATAAGACTTTCCATTGCTTCTTCGTCTGTAAACACTTGATTTGAAATATTACAGATAATCAGCAAATGTTCTTTCTATATTAGTATTCCCTTTTATTCTAATGAATGTATAAATGTCTGTAAATCTCTCCCATTATATATTTATTACTATTTATTATGATTAGTGCCAATCAAAATTGATTAGCCTGTAAAATGCATTATATTTTAGAAGTTGATCACATTTTTTTAAATGTTCATCTGTAACTTAAAAAGGTCTTGTAGATATCAATATTTCCATCTGAAATTTTAGTAAAGTGGAAGTATAAAACAGGATAATATGTAAAAGTACCTCAAAACTGTAATTAGAAAAAGGTCTTAAGTAAATATAGTTAGTTAGATTCCACCCCTGTCCAATGCAATGATCCCATTTTGTAGTGAAAAATAAAATGGTTAAAGTAACACATTAACTACATATTGTCTGTAACAATGATTTCCTGACTGAGTGATCTGTTTGTTTTTCTCACTATAGTGTGGGATGATGGCCCAGGCCATGGCGGAGGCGTAGATCCCACCGATCATCCAGAACATGCAGAGCCAGCTCAGATGCTCTCCTCGTTTCTCCTGGGCCAGAAACTCAGAGTAATAGAAAAACATGATGGAGATGGAGCCACCAATACTGTGGAGTAAAGAGGGAGTCACGAATGTACTAGCATCCTCAGCCGTCCAATCTTGTTGAAGGATCATTGAGGATGAGAATGAATGAAAGAGTACGTGGGGAGATGCTTACCTCCTATCTTTTACCAAGGCAACATTTCCTTTATTGTGAGCAGACACTTAGTGAAAGTAACGCTGTGCTGTTGTTTCATGGTAATTTCATGGTTTTTCTTAATAATGAATGTTTATTCAAAATGCAAGTATGTATGGCATTAATAAATAATGCAGATCACGATTTATTAAAGATTAGAATTTTTATTTATAGATTTATGTAAAAAATAGATTTATATATACATTTTTATTTATTTATAGATTATATTTACATTATTTATATAGATTATATTTGTATTTTTTTGTTTGTGGGAGGAAACCGGAGCACCCGGGGAAAACCCACAGGACACTGGAGGATTATTAAGATGTGTCCTAACTTTACGTTACCTGTCACTAATTTTCCACACCTTTCCAGTGTTTCTGTCTATGTAGCGCCAAGTTCTCTCGCTCTCTCACGTCTCCCTCCCGCCTGTCTGTGTGCTCACTGTGCCTTGTGTGTCTGTAACCCCTCCCTCCCCCCTCCTGCTCAGTGTAGATAGACAGACGCCGCCACACATCTTGACCAATCACACGGCTTTAACAGAAAAAAACAGGGGGAAAAATCTGGATGCAGCTCCCAATCAGGAGCCGGCTCCCGTTGTTCACTTCAAAGAGCTGGCTCTTAGAGCCGGATCGTTCCAGCCGACCCATCACTACACGGCACAGTGAGCACACAGACAGGTGGGAGGGAGACGTGAGAGAGCGAGAGAACTTGGTGCTACATATAGAGGGGAAAAAGAAACGGGCAAAAAATTTGGATCCGGCTCCCGTCGTTCACTTCAAAGACATACGTAACAGAACGAAAATGACTACAGCTGCTGAGGCTGCTGTTTCAGCTGCTGTGTACGTATTGCTCCATAAGGGCAGTTTCAGAGACCACTCTGTGGCTCGTGATGTTAGTGCGCGAGGACATTGTTTTGATGCCGTTGCGTTTGACGTGACACGTTCAAAGAGAATTGGCCATTTCAAACTTGAACTTAAAGCAAGTGATCATTTTGACAATGGGAATATCTGTAACTATTGTCACGAGAAAGGACATTGGAAGGAAGATTGTGCTGTATTAATGGCTAAAACCAGGGGAGTGAAAGCTAATGTGAGACCTGTTGCATTTTTTTGTCCTGTGTAGTTACACCCGCTATGCGTAAAGCAGAGACTGAGGTGCCACCCGACAGTAACAGTACTTTGTGGGAGGAAACCGGAGCACCCGGGGAAAACCCACAGGACACTGGAGGATTATTAAGATGTGTCCTAACTTTACGTTACCTGTCACTAATTTTCCTCACCTTTCCAGTGTTTCTGTCAATGTAGCGCAAAGTTCTCTCGCTCTCTCACGTCTCCCTCCCACCTGTCTGTGTGCTCACTGTGCCGTGTAGTGATGGGTCGGTCGCGAACAATCCGGCTCTAAGAGCCAGCTCTTTGAAGTGAACGACAGGAGCCGGCTCCTGATTGGGAGCCGCATCCGGATGTTTTCCCTGTTTTTTTCTGTTAAAGCCGTGTGATTGGTTAAGATGTGTGGCGGCGTCTGTCTATCTACACTGAGCAGGAGGGGGGGAGGGAGGGGTTACAGACACACAAGGCACAGTGAGCACACAAACAGGGGGGAGGGAGACGTGAGAGAGCGAGAGAACTTGGGGAAAAAAGAAACGGGTAAAAAATTTGGATCCGGTCGTTCACTTCAAAGACATACAGAACGGAAAATGACTACAGATGCTGAGGCTGTAATCGTATTGCTCCATAAGGGCAGTGTCAGAGACCACTCTGTGGCTCGTGATGTTCCAATTTTACGCGATTATTTGTAAATTTGGTATTTTGTTATAGTATATCACCAGGCGATAGGGTGTTAGTTTAAAGATTGTTGTAGGCCACTTTCTGGGTGATTTTTCTAATTCTAGGGTTTTCTAGTTTTTTGGGGGCAAAGTGTAGAGGAAAGGACGTGTTGGATGATGGCTTTGTTGGGTAAGTAGACTATTTCAGAATGATTGTGGAGTGTTTTCTTCCTGGATTTGGCCTTTTGAGTTTTTGTTTGCTTGCCGTTTTTTTTTTTTTTTTTCAGCAGATCCGGATAACATTCGCAGGTTGCGTGTGAGCTGTCTGGTAAAGTGGTGAGGAGCACTGGTCCGTGCGAGAGAGAGTGACTCTGTGCCAGCAGGCTGTGATGTCTCTGGGTCACTTACTGGGTTTGAGATATCAGGGCACAGATAGAGGGAGTTAGGAGAAGGCTGAACTCTCTCACCGCCAGAATGACTCCTGTGAATTAAAGAGGGATTGCCTATTAACTGTGTCTGTGCCAGTGGTGCTACGTCTACCTCTACAGGTAACTCATGTAGCACCGGTCCAGGGTTAACTCTGGCTGAACTGGGGGGAACGCGCCCAAATTCCATATCAATGATGCGAACATTTCTGATTCTGGAAAAACCAGCAGCATTTCTTGCTTGAGCCATAGTGTAAGAAGCAGCTGCCAAAGAAAATGAATTTCCATCTGACCCTGTGTGATTAC